AATTTTTTAAAAATGAAAAAAATTACTTTGTCGTATCCAAATTATTGTTCCAAGCATTAGACATAAATTGAATTACAAATGTGAAAGTGTTAAGAGACAGTATAAACAAAAGGGCAAATGAGAAAATATCAGACATCTTCTAAAAAGATGCCTAGTTGGATGAGAGTATAAACTGGATAGAATGTGTTAAGTGCCATCTAGTCGAGTACAACTCCTGGCAAACCTCAGAGCAACAGATCTGAATCCTGTCTTATCCTGTGCCAGCCTCACAATATCTGACACACTCAAGTCCATTGCTACAGTTACTATGTCAGTCCATGTGCTCCAGGGTTGTCTTTTCCTTCACCATCCCTCCAGCTTTCCAATTAAAGTGTCCTTCTCCAAGAAATAGCTTCTCCTAGCAGCATGCCCAAAGTATATAAGATGAAGTTTTGCCATCTTTGCTTCCAAGAAGCACACTGACTACACTTTCTCCAGACATACCTGTTCATTCTTTTGACAGTGCATGGAATATTCAGCACTTACTTCCAGCACCAAAGGCATTAAGGCAAAGGCATTAAGTTTTCTTCTGCCATCTTTATTCATTGTTCACCTTTCATATGCCTAGCAAGTGATTTAAAAGGTGGTGATCTTTCAGGTGCACTTTAGACCTCAAACTAACATCATTGCTTCTCAATAATTTAGAGTAGTCCCTGACTGCAGATTTCCTAGTGCAATACATCTGATTTCAAGTAAGATGAAATTGTTAAAAGCGTCTTTGTCTTCTCCTTCTATCATGATGTTGCCTATAAGTCTAGTGATGAGCATTTTTGTTTTACTGACATTGAATTGCAATCTGTATTGAAGTGGAAGCAGTAGAGTTTAATCTTCTGCAGCACATCCTCAGTTTCAACAAGCAAAGTTGGGTCATCTGCATATAACAGGTTATTGACAAGTCTTCGTCTGATTCTGTTGCCACATTCCTCTTCTTAGAGTATAACTTCTCAAGTAATTTGTACAGCATAAACTTTGAATAGGTAGAGAACAGATAGAGCTCTGGTGCACACCTTTCTTAATTTTCAACCATGTAATGCTTTTTCTTGCTCTGTTTACACAGCAGCTTCTTGGTTTAGATAAAGGTTTCGCATAAGCACAATTGAGTGTTCTAGGATTCCTATTCTTAATATTTGTCATAATTTGTTATGATGCATACATTCAAATGCCTTTGCATAGTCAATGATTTATTTATTGCAAATACCTTTTTTTTAAAAGACCACAAACAGTGACTCTACATATTGACATCACTAAATGGACTGCATAGTAATCTGATTGACAACATCTGTGGAAGGAATTATTGGAGAAGCTCAGTATCAATGGTCAAAACCAGGTCAGGTGCTCACTGTGGAACAGACCATCAGTAATTCATGTGCAAGTTCCAGTTAAGGCTGAAGGACACTAAAACGAGTCCACGAGAACCAAATTATGATCTTGAGTCTATCCCACCTGAATTTAAAAATAATATTAAGAGTAGCATTGAAGCATTAAAGACTAGATGGGTTATGAGATGACATCAGGGATATCATCCATGAAGAGAGCAGAAAAGTCACTACAAAGACAAAAAAGAAAGAAGGGGGGGAAAAAAAAAATATATATATATATATAAATCAGAAACCCTAAAAATTGCGGAGGCAAGCTGTTTCAGAAGTGGATGCAACTCCTGCTTCCAAGCTTGAGCTTGGAAGCTCCACCAAGAACTGTCCACCATGGATTATACAGATGTTCGGGTCTTTTATTCATAGGGTCGTTATGAGTCGTCAATGACTCGATAGCACTCAACAACAAACAACAACCCTAAAAGTGATACTCGAGTGTTAAGAATCCAAAACAAAGTGAGGATAATGCTGAATTTAAAAAGCTGAACAGAAGATTTCAGAGAGCAGCTGGAGAAGATAATGCAAACTATTTTAACAAAATATACAAAGACTTGAAATTGGAAAATAAAAAAGGAATTTGCTTGACATTTCTCATTCTGAAAGAACTGAAATATAAATTCAAACCTTGAGTTGCAATACTTAAGAGATTCTGTGGGCAATATCTTGAATGACACAGGCAGCATCAAAAGAAGATTGAGTGCTCTCTTGGGTCCTCACTTCCAAGATAACAAAGAAAAGGAAAAATAGTAGAGGGGCCAAAAAGCACTGTGCCCACAGCCAGACAGCAAGGCAATTAAGAAATTCGCAATTCGAAATCCGGTAGAGGCAGATGCTGTCAAGAACATTTCTGAAGAGAGTGTTTTTGATCCTTCTGTCCTTACCAAGTTCTGTATGAAACTGCACAATGGTGTGAGTTTTGCCATTCACAGCAAGGCAGCAAGGAACCATTCTCATGAAGTCAGAATACCTCCACCTAGGTTTAGACCTGCGCGTGCTGCCCCCTGACCTCCTCGAGAGCTCCATGTAAGGATTTGATTCTTTTTAAAGGCTGCAGAAAAATACTCATCTGAAAGAAAACAAAATGGAAATTATACTTGAAACAAATATAAAGGAATACACAGAATCACTGTACAAAAAAAAAAAAGAATTGGCCAAAACTGAAGTATTTCAGGAAATATCATACTATCAAGAGCCATTGATAAGGAAAGAAAAAGTTGAAAGTTGTTGTGCCGTCGAGTTGCTTGTGACTCATAGTGACCCTATATACAACAGCCCTAAACTCTGCTCTGTCCTGTGCCAAGTCTCACTGTCTCCGACACACCCATCCCAATTACCACAGTCACTGAATCAATCCACCTCACAGAAGGCCTTCCCCTCCTGTGCTGTCCCTCCACCGGACCAAGCATGATGTCCTTCTCCAAGGACCAGTTCCTCCTTACAACATGCCCAAAGTATGTTAGATGGAGCCTCAGAATCCTTGCCTCCAGGGAGCTGCCTGGTTTAACCCTTTCCAGGATGAATCTGTTTGTTTTCCTAGCAATCCATGGTACCCTCAGTACTCTTTTCCAGCACCACGGCTCAAAGGCATCAATTCTCCCTCTATCCTCCTTAGTCACTGTCCAACTCTGATGCATAACAATGATAGCAAAGACCATGGCCTTTATCAGACGCACCTTAGTCTCCAGAGAGACACCACTGCTCTTCAGCACTTTGGAGAGGTCCCTAACAGCAGACTTTCCCATAGCAATACATCTTTTAATTTCCTGGCTACTGGTGCCAAGAGTGTTGACTGTGGAGCCAAGCAAACTAAAGCTGTGTACAATCTCAATCTCTTCACCATCCGTCCTGGTGCTGCCAATTGGTCCAGTGGTGAGAATCTTTGTCTTCTTGACATTGAGCCTCAATCCATATTGGAGGATGCAGTCCTTGACCCTCTGCAGCAAGTGTGTCAGGTCCTCCTTAGTTTCAGCAAGCAGGGTTGTGTCAACTGCATAATGCAGATTGTTGATGAGTCTTCCACCAATCCAGACACCACATTTTTCCTCATAGAGCCCAGCCTCCCAGATAATCTGTTCTGCATACAGGTTGAAAAGGTATGGAGACAGGACACATTCCTGGCATATGCCCTTCCCAGTTTTGAACCATGCGGTGTTAGCCTGCTCTGTTCTGACGACTGCCTCTTGGTCCAAGTATAGGTTTCGCATTAGCATGATTAAATGTTCTGGGATTCCCATTCTTCTCAGAGTCAACCACAGTTTGTTAAGATCCACACAGTCAAACGCCTTTGCATAATCAATGAAACACAGATAGACATTCTTCTGGTATTCCCTGCTTTCAGTTAAGATCCATCTAACATCAGCTACAATATCCCTAGAACCACAACCCCTTCCAGCATTTGCCAAAAATAAGACGCTAGGAATCAGTGTGATACCATTTGGCATACTTCAGCTAACAGAGCAGCCCAGGGTGTGTTCACCAGTCTATGCGAGGAAATTTGGAAGGCAAATGTCTGGCCAACTCACTGGAAAAGATCTGTTTTTGTTACCAGTCCCAAGAAAAGTAATCCAACAGAATGTGGAAGTTACCAAACATCATTACTATCACATGCAGACAAAATACTGCTGAAGATCATTAAAAAACGACTAGCACACCCACAGGGACATAAACTGTATAAAACTGTTACTGCATAGTGAATGTGAGGATCCAAGGGCAGGGGGTGGAAGCAAAGAGATGAGGATCTGCGAGAGGATGAGGGAATTAATCAAGGGGTTGTACAATCTGATGGGGGAGGTGAAGAAATTTGAAGAATCTGCTCTGGAAAACAATGTATTTGAGTTTTGTAAAAAACTAGAATAATAATGAAAAAAAGTTATTGGTACATAAGTGACCACTGCTATTCTGGGTGTGATTATTAAGAAGACTGTGTGGATTAAGAGAAGAAGGTCAAAACTGGAGCCTTGTGACCCAGTATCTAACGGGCAAGTGTAGAGTAGGATGCTCAGAAGACGGGAAAAGGATGTGCAGGAAATGGGAGAAGAGTGGACAGATCTTTCTACTGAAATCAACAGTACTTCCAGAGAAGAGTATCTAACGGTGCAAAATAAACACGTGTTCTCGAAACATAATTCTGTCGGCACTAAACAAACATAGACACTTAAGTGCTTAGTCAGTCTTTGGTTGCTGCCAGAATGATGGGATTGGAAATGTACAGGGGCTATCTGAATTTACCACCGTCTTTGTGGTATTATCAGGGATTAAGGATATTGTGGCTTATAAATCAAGTCTTCTCAGTGTTATCCATAATTTGTTATGATTCACATAGTTTAATACCTTTGCATAGTCAATAAAATGCAAATGAACCGTGGGTAAAAAACAAAGGACTAGCACAGTATATTGACAGAGAATTGCCAGAAGTTCAGTCTGGGTTTAGATTAGGTCATGGCATGATACCATTGCTAATGTCAGATGGAACCTAGCTGATAGCAAGGAATAGCAGAAGAATGGCAGAATGAACAGAACTTTGTTTTTATAAGGAGTTCTGGTGGTATAGTCCATGGCATGTTGTCCTTCTAACCACATTTTTGGTGGTTCAAATCCACCAGTTTCTCCAAGGGAGAAAGATAAGCAATCTCCTTTGATGAAGATTTACAGTCTTCAAAGCCCAGTGGAGTGGAGGGTCACTGTGAGTCATAATAAGTCTGTGATACATTCCTACTGGCATCGTTAGCATTTCAAAGTTAAGGAAACTGAAGCCCAGAAAGCTTCAGTAACTTCTTAGTAAGCAGTACAGCCCAGTATTCCAGCCCTTGACTCTGTGTTCTTAATCATAAGTTGTGCTGTCTCTTGGTTATTAGAAAAATTAAATGTAACAGGGCTTGATGACTAGCTGTGGAACTAGGAAAGACGGAAAAATAGGTGATTCTGGATTTCTTAAAGCTGGATAATCAGTGCTGTGTGATTGGAGTGCATAAAGAGTATGTGATACATTTGGTATGACTGGGTATTGTGAAACTTGTTTAAAAAATATCCACCTTTTCTGTTTGTAACAAGCAGGAGAAACATTAGTTTAGTCTCATTCTCACATACTTTTAAGCTAGGTTTTAAAGATGTGTTTTTATTTACTTTGATGGACTATGATAAGCTGGTGTCTCATGTTTTAGCATCTCTCTGCTGAAGAGTTGGCAAGAAGAAAAGAAGACGAAAAATGTAGACCTGTTAAATCTTCAAAAGTACCAAGGTCATCAAAAAGGTATGTTACAGAAATTGAAAAACTTTATTTTGAATTTTCACTAATTTCTCACTTTGGTAGATCTGAAGCCAAAGTGGAAAGGAGATTGAAACTGTCAACAGCTTTTTCTTGCTTCGATCCACAATTAACACCTTTGGTACAAACAGTCAGGAAGTAAGGAGAAGCATTGTACTGGGAAAATCTGCAGTTAGGGACCTTTACAAATTATTGAGGAGTAGTGATATCGGTTTGAGAACCAAGGTGTGTCTGATTCAGGCCATAGTTTTTCCGATTACTAGCTGTACATCAGAGACCTGGACAGTGAATAAGGATGACAGAAAAAGAATTGACGTTTTTGAGCTGTGTTGGAGAAGAGCACTGAACATCCCATGGATGGTCAAGAGAATGAACAGATATGTCTTGGAGAGGGTGCAGCTGGAGTGTCCTTTGAAGGCAAGAATGATTAAGCTTCGCCTCACATACTTTGGATTTGTTGCTGGGAGGTGCTATTCCTTGGAGAGGGACATGACGTTGGGATGGGTGGAGGATAGGTAAAGGAGAGGAAGACCCTCAACCAGGTGGATTGACATGGTGACTGCAGCAATGGGCTCTTGTGTGTCAGGAAGTGTGAGGATGGCGCAGGATAGAGCAGGGTTCAGAGCTTTTGTTCATAGGGTCACTATGACTCAGACTTGACTTGATAGCACCTAACAACAACAGTAGTTTTCAGTTCCATGACAGCACACAGACCACCACAGTACAATAAACTGAGAGAGAAGTAGTGAATGGAAAGTGAGCTGGCCATCCACTTCTAAAATAATGGGCCCTTGAAAACCCTGTGACTAGCAAGGGAACATTGTTACAGTGCCAGAAGATTAGGCCCTCAGGTTGGAAGGCACTCAGAATATGGCAGGGAAGAGCTCTTTCCCATAGTAGAATCTACCTTAATGATGTAGATGGAGTAAATATTGCAGCCAATGAAAGACCTTCATTTACTGATAGGGCATGACTCAAAATCAGGGAGAAAACAGCTACAAACATCCACTACTTATTGGAAGTTGCAATGTAGGAAGTATGAATCCAGGAAAATTCGATGTTGTAAAAAGTTAAATGGATTACACAGTGATTACAACAGTGAGCTTAAAGAGATTGTAAATGAAGCAGGATTTTACTCTGTTGTCCATAGAGTCACTGTGAATCAGAGATCTTTATGTCATCTGCAGCCCCTCAGTAGACACTAACTTGGTTCCACAGTGCTGTTTTATGTATTTTCTGATCTAGCTTGACCTTAAGTTTCTTTTTTTTATTGCTGTTGCTACACTAATTTTAAGATCTTTCTTCTTTATTTAATAAGTGTTTTGACTTAACCAAGGACTCTCTAGATACTTGGAATAAAATATTATACAAAGCATTTTTTTCTTGGAGCTAAAGACTTCTTTGGTAGATCAGGAGATCCTACTCTTTCCTAGTTGGGTTAGCACAAACACATAGCATAATTAGTCCTTGTGTTTCTTCTTTCTCTTTGAATATAGCCTGAAAATATCTTTATATTCTTAATATATTGGTCAAACATTAGTTGTTTACTCAAAAAAGTCTCCCTAAGGCTTCTCAGATTTATGCATGCTTTCTCATCCATCCTTGCTTACAGGCCTACTCTTCCCATCTTTCCGTATTTTAAGGTTTTAGTTTATTATGAAATTTTCTCTAATACATTCTTTAGCAGATTTAGAAGTCATTCATTGAATAAATATATATTGAATCTCCACGATATACCAGTTGTATTATTATATTGAGAAATGTTTTTTAGAAATTTCCATCTTACTCTTCCCTTTCCTTTCATATCTCCTATCAGGGAATCAGTTATATTTTCCTTGAACTTTCTGTAATCTTTCAATATGGGATATGTGCCTGGCTGTGGATATTAGTAGAAATTAAGATAAAAGAATTTATTTTCTCCTAAAGTGCCTGTCACTTTTCCATTTTCAAGTTCAAAAAAATATTACTTCTTCCGGAAAGGTTGCATATCATGTGCGCTAAGAAATTCTCCTATTTAATATTTATGTCATTCAGTTAGAATATATGTTTAGGCTTTTAAAATAACTTTTCTAATCTTGCTGTCGAGATTATATAAAAAATACATATTTTATTTTATTTTTGTCTTTCAGCTCATTTGATCCTTTCCAACTGATACCTTGTAATTTTTTCAGTGAAGAAAAGCAGGTACTAGTTAAGCATCAGTGACCAATATAAATAATACCTTAGGTCAGACATGAGATACTTTTTTCTATGTATGCAATGTGTTGTGTTAACGTGGAAATAAAATTTCAAATGTGATTTCTGCTCTCAAAGGATTTGCAGTCTACTATATTTTTACATAAATAGCGTGCCCATAAACAATTTTTTCCAAACCTGAAAATTTTCCCTGGTTTCTTGTGCGATTTTTGTAAGCATCCTATGCTCTGCATGTGTGTGGGCACATTTTTGTGATAAACTAGGCAATTTGGAGAAATGGGGTATATATACGTGAAAGTGTAAGGTATGTTTAAGGTCAGATGGGAAATGAGAGCAGAATTTCTCCATGATGGACTTTTCTATAGTAATTTTAAATAAAGCCTAGCTTGCATTGCATCTTGACTGGTAGTAAGAACCTGGCAGAATATAGATAAAGGAAGAAAAAGACATTCCTGTTTGGGAGAACAAAATCTCTACTTTTATGTCCTCCTGCTGGATTTTCCTCCCTCCCTTCTTATATTTCAGGAGCCATTTCAGGTGAGAGTGGCTTCAGAAGTACTTTTAATAATGGATTTGGTAAGGATAATCTATTATGTTATTTAGTTATTCTGATTTCTATTCTTGTGTATTTTTATTCCAGGCATATAAGAGTATGGAAGACTTGTATTTTGGATCTTAACTGTCCCCTTACAAGGATCTTAAAAATGTCTTTTCTTTTGGAGAAAAGCCAAAACAATTGCATGTTTCCATATTTTAGAAATAATAAATTAATGTGAGTTTTGCAGACTGTTTATCATTAACCCTGTATTCATTTCCCAGCATCCCTTGTCTGCTGCTTTATAGATAACTGGAACAAAGCACAACTCCTTTAATTTGGAGACTCCTTGTTTCAGGAAACTACTGATACCCCAACAGTTATATTTGTTTATTGTGTTTTTCTATCAAAGATCCAGAATGACTTTTACATTTTATCCTTATCTTTTATAAGTAGGGAGAGCAAGTGGTATCTTCATTCTTAAGTATATAAATGTGTGGTTGGAAGCGTCTCACTCAGAAGTGCAGACAGACTAAAATCTGAGTTTCTGTGCCCCTAGCCTACCATTTTCTAGATTACTCTTCTGTGCTACTTTATTTAGTAAACAGTAGTAATAATAATAATAGTAAAGCAAGTACTTGGAAATTACTTTTTTTTGGTAAACTAATTTGTTCTAATTTTTGTGTCAAGTGGATTTGTGCATTTAGGCTAATAACCCTGTCTTTATTTCATTTAGCATGCCCATGTTTCTATGGCAGAAGTGATTGGTCTGTTAGGAGGAAGATACTCAGAAGCTGATAAGATAGTTGAAGTAAGTTCTTTTTTAATTTTAGAGTTTTTAAATTATTATTTAATCCTGCTGTCACACTAAACATTTTTCTAACATTAAGGTATAATTAAAATACAGACTGCATAATATGAATACAAATATGCAAACATCAAAAGTTTAATTTTCACAAAAGTGACTTATTGAGTACCTTTTACTATCAAGAAAGAGACTAGAGCTAGGTTTTGGTTTATTATTTACGTTCAGAAAAGCTGCAGCTTCTTACCAAAAACCAAGCCCACTGCCACAGAGTCTGTTGTGACTTAGATAATTTGGACTAACGCTTTTCATTCGATCGTAGTATGCATCATTTTATCAAGTATAAGTAATAGGAGTAAATGAAAGAATACTTTTATATATGTGTTATGTGGACTGATCCGAAAATTAAACGTTGTTTGAGTACAAAAATGAATTCTGAGTCCCTCACGTACAGTCACATTTTTGATAGGTTAGTAATGTGCAAGTTATAGACTGGTTATTATATAGTCAGATTAAAGATGTGGATCTGAAAAGTTTCTGAATATTTTGAACTCCAAAATATTAAGGAATAGAATTACCAGGATTTCAGTCTAAGCTTGTGAGGATTAATCTTTTACAGGTCTGTGCAGCAGAACCATGTAACAGTCTCAGTACGGGGCTGCAGTGTGAGATGGATCCTGTATCACAAACCCAAGCCTCAGAAACCTTAGCTGTGAGGGGCTATAGTGTTATTGGATGGTATCATTCACATCCTGCCTTTGATCCTAATCCTTCATTAAGAGACATTGACACTCAAGCTAAATACCAGGTACATGTATAAATTCTGTAAGTGTCTATATATTCGTCTCTGTTGCTTTCAGTTAACAAAGTATATTTTTAAAAAATTGTAATAATGTGACGCATGTCTAACATTTCTTAAACAGTTCTGAAATAATCTTTTTTTCTGATTATGAGTAATACATGCTATGGAAACATTTGAAAAAAATCTGCTATGTTGTTTAATATGACTGATCATTAAAGTAATAGTGATAATTACCCTTAGAGGCTTTAAAAGCAAATGGGAACAACTAGTGACAGGAAGTAGTTCTAACTGAACTAATTGTAAACAGTGTATTTTATATCTGAGTAAGTTTTATTCTATAATATGTGAGTGTCATTAATGGCAGCTTCTTTTAAAGTACTACCATACTGATGATGCATAAAATAACAACCTACCATATTGATAAAGAATGCAACTCAAGGGTTGTTGGTAATACATGCTGTTGAGTTGGAACCGACTCATAGCTGACCCTCTAGTGAGTTTTTGGAGGCTGTAAATCACACAAGAGGAGGTTGCCCATCTTTCTCCTGTGGAGCAACGGATAGATTTGAGCCTCCCACCTTTGAAATGACAATGCAGCTCTTTACCCAAAATATTACCAGATGCTGGAGCACCCTTTCAGCTCAGAGGTGGTAAATACAATTATTAAATGTAAATTTGGCAATCCTGGTGATTTTTTTTTTGCCATCTCTGATTAAATTAAGCACATTTTGACCTGAAAAAAAAAATATATATATTGTAGAATGAATATGTAATTAAATCTCTATATGGATGTGAGGCTTTTAGTGTGCTATTTTTTTACTTTTCTTCCATTGAGTGTTTAAAATATTGCTTTAGCTACACAGTGACTTTTAAATGTAAATAGTTGAAACTAATTGCACTTTTCTTTTCATTATAGAGCTACTTCTCCAGAGGAGGGGCAAAATTCATTGGAATGATTGTTAGTCCTTATAATCGAAACAATCCATTACCTTACTCCCAGATCACCTGCCTGGTTATAAGTGATGAAATTAGCTCAGACGGCTCATATCGTAAGTTTCAAAAGAATCAACTCAGTTCTGTGCTCTAGCTTTTTTTTCCCTCTTCATTTTAAGAAAGAAAGAATTTATGCAAAACTGTTTGATGGAAAACTTGGTGCCCTCAGCTAGAAAATCCAGTTTTGTGTACTACCAAGTGCAGGCACTCTGTTCTGTTCCATAATATCCTGTTGCCTATTGCCTTTACTTGGCTCCCAGGCCACTGGACAATAGGATTGAAATATAAAGAAAAATTATGAACAAGCGGTGTATATGCTAGGCATTGAAGACACTGCAATAAACAAAGTCCCTTATTTGCATGGAAATTGTTTGATAAATGCTGATTGGCTTTCTCTGCTGTGTCTTAAAAATATATGGAAAAAATTATCACACTGTGATCAAGTATTAATGTTTGTTCAGGCTTAGCAATTAATATTCTTTGCTTTTAGTCCCTAGTCTATCTCAAAGAATGTGATTGGCCCACCTTGTCATAATACCAGATGCCTTGATTTTGTCTTTTTGAGTTTGTCTACTTGGGATACTATGACTGGATAGCAAATTAATATAGCAGGCAAAGGAAAGAAAGAAAGTGGTAGCAATGGAAAGGAAAATTTAGTACCACTAGAACACTTGTTATCTGTTCTCCATCCTTACTACCCTTATGCTAGTTGACGCATCCTTTATCTCTTTCGGGGCTACTGTTAATGGGCTCATGGATTAATCTTACCACTCTCCATCCTCCCTCAAATCTGTGTCCACTAACTACCAAAATGATTTTTCATGAGCTCACATTTAATTATATTAACCCCCACCCCAACAACTTTAATAAAATCCTTAAAAATATTCTTATACATGGTGTTCATTTATAATGTCTTCTCTGGCCTCTTTGATAATTACTTAGCTCTTGATTGTTCTAATACAACAGATTTTTGCTCTTCCTTTCTTTATCCACTAGGTGGTTTTTCTTTCCCGGGTGCCTACGATTCATCTGAGTATTGTCAGTGCAGTTACCACATTCTGTTTCTCTTCCTCGTTAGATCATGAGCTCCTGAAGAGTTCTTGTTAGCAACCCTGCAAACAGTGGATGTGAATCCTGCCCTGTCCTGTACCATTCTCATCATCTCTGATATATTTGAGTTCATTGTTACTGTCACTGTGTCATTGTGTCCTTTTGAAGATAGATAACTATATTATATTAATTTTTCTATACTTTTTCCAGCACAAAACTGCCTGGCATTAAGTACTAAATTTAGTAAATTATCTTCATTCTCAGTGAACTTAGTTAGACATTGTTCTTTGGTAAAGACTTCTCAGTACTATCCCTATATCATTCACTATTAATTACTCTGATGTTTTTGCATTTGCATAATTTTTCCTGCTTTCTTAGTGGCTTTTGTCTTATAATTTATGTATTTAGGACTAAAACTTGAGCTCCCAAAGAGCAGAGATGTGTTTTATTTTTATGTACTCCATCACCTTTGCTTGGAAAGCATTGCCACTGAACTTAAGAAACACTGGTCACAGCACAATAAACTGTCAGAAGCCAGCATATTTGGAATCACAGAAGCCAAGGAAGCTTCAGATATAAGATATCAGATCAAGGGTGGGACAACGGGAGACGGATGTTAAAGGGAGTGGGTAGAAGTGAATTGGTATCATGGCAGATGGGGGGGCAGGGAAATAAGTGAGTAAAGACACGTGTGCCAAGGGCAGGGACAACACTGATATGAATGGTTAACTCCACAATAAGGGATATATCTTTCACTTTTCTGTAAAATGCTGGTCTGTCTGATACTTCTCTAAATCTGAACATTCAGATTAAGACAGACTAGGAAGAAGGATTAGCCATCCACTTCTGAAATAGCAGGGCTCCGAAAACCCTATGTACAACAGAACACATGTAGATAATACAAAGGGCAACTGAGGTTGAGCTTTCAGGTATGGAAATACAAAGGAAGAGGAACAGTTATAAGCAGACACTAGTGATTGGGACATGGAATGTGAGAACCATGAATGTAGGAAAATTAGATATTCTTAAGGAAGAAATGGAACGCATAAATATTGACATACTAGGCATTGGTGAGATGAGATGAACTGGCATGGGTCATTTTGAGTCAGACGATCATATGATATATTACTCTGGAGATGAAAAGGTGAGGAAAAATGGACTTGCTTTCATACTTAAGAAAGCTATTGCTAGATCCATCTTGAAGTAAAATATTGTGAGTGACAGGATAATATTCATACACATACAAGGAAGGCCAATGAGTACCACTATCATTCAGATATATGCTCCAACAACCAGAGCCAAGGAAGAGGAAATAGAACATTTTTACCAACTTTTACAGTCACAGATTGATCGAACATGCAATCAGGAAGCATTGATAATAATGGGTGACTGAAATGCAAAGTTGGAAACAGAGAAGAAGATTTAGTAGTTGGAAAACATGGACTCAGTGGCAGAAATGGAGCTGGAGAGAAGATGATCGAATTTTGCATAATCAATGGCTTATTCGTTGCACATATGTTTTTTAAGAGACATAAACGCAGGTTGTATACATGGATTTCACCTGATGGTATGCATAGGAATCAGATTGAATCTGCATATGCAGAAAGAACACTGGAGAAGCTCAATATCAGCTGTGAAAACTAGGCCAGGAGCTGATTGTGGAACAGACCACCAACTATCATATGCAAGTTCAAGCTGAAGCTGAGGAAAATTAAACCAAGTCCACAGGAACCAAAATATGACTTTGAGTCTGTCCCCCCTGAATTTCAGAACCATCTCAGGAACAGGTTTGAGACCTTGAACACTAATAAGTGTAGACCAGATGAGTTGTGGGAGGATATCAAGGGTATCATCCAGGAAGAGTGCCAACATTCATTGCAAAGATGGAAGAAAAGACCAAAATGGATGTCAGAAGAGACTCTGAAAATTGCACTAGAGCGCAAAGAAGCCAAAGCACAAGAAAGAACTCAAGATACTAAAGAGTTGAATAGGAGATTTCAAAAGGCAGCGTGTGATGACAAAGTAAAATATTACAATGAAATGTGCAAGGAATTGGAGTCAGAAAATCAAAAGGGCCAAACTCGCTCAGCATTTCTTAAGCTCAAGGAACTGAAGAACAAATTCAAACCTCGAGTTGCTATAATCAAGGATGTTTTAGGCAGAATGTTAAATGATCCAAGAAGTATTAAAAGGAGATGGAAAGAATATACTGAGTCATTGTATTGAGAGGAATTGGCAGATACAGAAGAATTTCATGAAATAACATATGAGCAAGAGCCTATGGTGATGAAGGAAGAAGTTGGAGCTGCTTTGAAGAAAATAGCAAAAAATAGGCCCCAGGAATAAACGGTATACCAATTGACATATTTCAGCTAACAGATGCTGCCCTGGATGTGCTCACCAAGTTGTGCCAAGAAATCTGGAGAACAACTACTTGGACAACTGACTGGAAGAGATCTTTATTTGTTCCCATCCCAATGAAGGGTGACTCAACAGAGTGTGGAAACTGTAGAACAATATCATTAATTTCACATGCAAGCAAAATTCTACTGAAGATTATCCAAAAACAACTGGAACAACACATCAGCAGAGAACTGCCAGACATCCAGGCTGGGTTTAGAAGGGGTCATGGTACTAGGGATATTGTAGCTAATGTTAGATGGATCTTAGCTGAAAGCAGGGAATACCAGAGGAATGTATATCTGTGTTTCATTGATTATGCAAAGGCTTGACTGTGTGGATCATAACAAACTGTGGGTGACTCTGAGAAGAATGGAAACCCCAGAACACTTGATCGTTCTAATGTGAAACCTGTTCTTGGACCAAGAGGCAGTCATCAGAACAGAGCAGGGAAACACTGCATGGTTCAAAATTGGGAGAGGTGTATGCCAGGGATGTGTCCTGTCTCCATACCTTTTCAACCTGTATGCAGAACAGATTATCCAGGAGGCTGGACTCTATGAGGAGAAATGTGGGGTTAAGATTGGTGAAAGATCTATCAACAGTTTGCGCTATGCAGATGACACACCCCTGCTTGCTGAAACTAAGGAGGACCTGACACACTTGCTGCAGAGGGTCAAGGACTGCAGCCTCCAATATGGATTAAGGCTCACTGTCAAGAAGACAGAGATTCTCACCACTGGACCAGTTGGCAGCATCAGGATGGATGGATGGTGAAGAGATTGAGGTTGTTCACAGCTTTAGTTTGCTTGGCTCCACAGTCAACACTCTTGGCACCAGTCGCCAGGAAATTAAAAGACGTATTGCCGTGGGAAAGTCTGCTGTTTGGGACCTCTCCAAAGTACTGAAGAGCAGTGGTGTCTTTCTGAAGACTAAGGTGCGTCTGATACAGGCCATGGTCTTTGCTATCACTCTTATGTATCAGAGAGTTGGACAGTGACTTAAGAGGATAGAGGGAGAATTGATGCCTTTGAGCTGTGGTGCTGGAGAAGAGTATTATGAGTACCATGGACTGCTAGGAAAACAAACAGATTCATCCTGGAAAGGGTTAAACCAGGCAGCTCCCTGGAGGCAAGGATTCTGAGGCACCGTCTAACATACTTTGGGCATGTTGTAAGGAGGAACCGGTCCTTTGAGAGGGACATCATGCTTGGTTGGGTGGAGGGACGGCACAGGAGCGGAAGGCCCTCTATGAGGTGGATTGATTCAGTGACTGGGATAATTGGGATGGGTGTATCGGAGATGGTGCGATTGGCACAGGATAGAGCAGGGTTTAGGGCTATTGTCGACTCGACGGCACATAACAACAACAACAACTCACAAAACCACAGCCATCAAGCCCATTCTTACTCCTAGCAACCCTTTTGGCATCCAGTTGCTAACCAAAAGACAGTGACTAAAACTTGGCCAGTCTCTCCAAAGAGAGAAAGATGAGACATCCTTCTTCTATAAAGATTTATAGCTTTGGAAAGCCTGTGGGCAGTTCTGCTCTATCCTGCAGGGTCACTGAGGTTTTGTCCCAGGTAGCAGCATCTAATCAGGTGCCTTGTATCTGTAAGATGCTTAGAAGGTTTTTTTTGTTGAATGAAGAGTATTAACATTAGTATTTGTTTTGAGTTCATAGTATAGTTCTTTGGTCCAGTATAATTTCATTTTAAAATGACCAGAGGGATTTTACTTACTTGAAAAACCTCATTTGGTGGTAGAAACCCAATTGAGAGGCAGTTGACTATTAAGGTTAAGAAGCTTTAGGCTTTAAAGGTAGGCTGCTTGGGTCCACCACTAACTTTTTATATGACCATAAATAAGTTATTCACACTTTTTATGCCTTGTTTTTGTGTACCATCAAGTCAGAACAACCCATAGCTGGCCCTCTTGTGGGTTTTCAGAGGCAGTAAAATGCACGGGAGGAGACTGCCCAATGCCTTTGACATAGCAGTGCAGCTTCTTGCCACTAGGCCACCAGAGCTCCCTCTGTGCCTTAGTGTTCTCATATTTTCTTTCTTAAATGAAGCTGTGGTAACTACTGCAAGAAGCATGTTGGGAGAGTCAAGAGACTTGCCATATGCGAAGCACCTGAAGCCTGGCATGGAGCAGACACTCTATAAATGTTGTTATTGTCATGTTGACTTTATAAAACTAACTCTTGGTAGTCAATTCATTAAGCTTGCATTCAGTATACTCTAAATACATTTTTAGGGATTTCAAATTATATGAGAAATTTCAGATCAGGTTTATCTTTTGGTTTGTTTTGTCAAGTTTTGTGGGTTTTTTTTTTTCTCTTTTCTAACTATACACATGGTATCTTTCCCTTAGACTCCCTTCTTCTGGAGTTAAATGTAGCAGCTTTAACTCAAGTGTAGATGTTCCCTCCTCAGAATTAATCACACCTTTTCTAACCCATGTTAGACTAACTAAGTCTAGTCTTTAATAGACTTAAACAGCCTGCTGGGATTCTAGCTTGGCTTTCCTATCCTAAGTTGGTTGTTTATTTGCTTCAAACTCAGTTTTCTGTTTAAAATGAGAATAATTCTTTTTACCTTGCAGTAGTGCTGTAACTTGTATAAAACAGCTTATCACTAGGATTACAGTGTCTCTCTTATTTTGTCTAGGATGGTCCTGATTTAATCCTGTGATTCTAGCATAAGTTTTCATGGTACCCCCTTTTGCTTATCTCTTGATTTTAATGATACGTTATGTGATTATCCAATCTCTTGAATAGAATTGTTACTTAAATACCACTTTTACTTTTCTTTATTATGATGAATAGCTTAACATTAATATGCTTGGTGGGTCAAGTTCAATCAGGCAGTAAATATTTAATGAAGGCCCAGTATGTTTAAAGTGCCGTTCAGCTGGTCTGACAAGCTGTGGTTATGAAAATACTGAAGGGAATTTTAAGTAATTAAAAGAAGATTGGAGGTAGTTGATGGGAATTTGCTTCTTTATGCTTTTCTAGGTTTACCTTACAAATTTGAAGTACAACAGATGTTAGAAGAACCTCAGTGGGGATTAGTATTTGAAAAGACAAGATGGATAATAGAAAAATACAGGCTGTCCCATAGGTATGTGTTATGTCTAAGATGATTACACATCTCTAGTGTTTCTCATTATGTTTTTGAGAAAGCCCAAGTTGAATATAAAATTGTGATGTAAGACATAAGTGATAGTTTATTACTAAACTGATTAGCTTATAGAATTTGTTTAATTGAGTTTTGTTTTGTTTTGTTTTTTCCTTCCGTATTTCTTCTTGCAGCAGTGTCCCCATGGATAAAATCTTTCACCGAGATTCTGACCTGACTTGTTTGCAGAAAGTAAGCAGCCTTCATTTTAATTGGTTCCATTGTTCACAAATTCTAAAGCTATTCATCTCACTGTGTTTTCCCATGATGGTTAATGCTTTGTGGATACATTTTCTGTATGTTCCCTTTATTGCTTTTTCTTTTCTAAAATTAATTTCTAGGAGATAATTAGTAATGTGTTTTGTTACCCATGCTTGTATATAGAAATAATCCTGTGTTAGAATAATCGTGTTAGTTGATAAATTTCTCAGCAGATTATTATTGCACACAATGAAAAACATTTTTCTCATTTTAGTAAATTCAAAATCACCATTTTCCATTTTAGCCTAACAATTGATCACATTTAAAAATGCTGGTATAAACCTAGCAAATAGGCAGTTAGATTTAAATGGTCATTTTAATTAACATTCTTTAAGAAATACAGGTTTTTTATTATTTGTTTCACTTATAATTTTGATTCTATAATGAGTTTAGACCATTAAATTGGTGGCATTTCAGCATTTTACTGTAGCAGTTTGGGAATAGAAATTTAAGCCTACTGAATACCTTTTTCTTCTTTTCTAGTTTCTTTTCCTGTCTTCTATTGGAAGATTAATTTGCACATTTCTTAGAAAATAAACTCTAGCATCTTAATTTTGAAATCGCAGAATCCAACATATGCCATAGATTTTAATGCTGTAGTATTTTTTTTTCTTTGTGTTCCTTACTTCCAGAAGAAGGAAGAAAATATATAAAATGTATCTAAATTAGAAGACAACTTATGGGGAGCTCTGGTGGCCTGTGGCAAGAAGCTACACTGCAATCTCAGAGGCGTGTGGTTCAAATCCACCAGATGCTCTGCTGGAGAGGGAGGGGCAATCTCCTGTACAAGTCAAATACGATTTGATGGTATACACACAAAAAAAAGAATTTTAAAAAAAAAGGCAACTTATGTGCATTCTTAGTTTTATCTCATTATGTAAAATTTTGAAGGAGCTACTCTGAGGTCAGCAGTGGTTTTGTACCCACCTATGTACAGTTATAAACCAAATACAGTGTTGTTCTTTTGATCATTTACAAATGTGTGCTTTGAGACAGGTAAAATAGTGATGTAAGCCCTTTTATCAATTATGTGTTTAAACATAAAACTTTTCTTTTCTACCAGCTTTTGGAGTGTCTGAGGAAAACTCTGGGCAAAGTAACGAATTGCTTCATTGCCGAAGAATTTTTGACTCGAATAGAAAATTTGTTCCTTTCCCATTATAAAAGCAAGTGTGAGAATGGAGTTGCTGAAGAGAATTGTACTATGGGTCCAAAGCAATTGTTAATGTAATTATTTCAAAGTAAAATAGTTCAGTCTTGACATAATTCAACATACTTTGAAAGATATAATCCTGAAAATTTTGTAATTTAGTTAATAGCAGCAACTTAGGTATTTTTTTTTCTCTAGTTTATACAGATCAGACCTAACCACGTAAGCCTTGTGAAAAGGAAGAGATACGGACTTATCTTCATATACTCATCATCAGAGTATCGCGTAAACTAGGGCATGCCACAGTGTTCCTGTCCTTCCATTCAGTATGATGTAAAAATAGAGTAACGTATTATAAACTGTGTGGTAGATCGAAAACTTGTAAAAGTTACTGTTAGATAAGGAGAATAGATCTGTAATGTTTGTTACTCCCTGAATCAGCCTTTTTATTATATTTCACTATTGGTATCTCATTCATTTAGAAGTGCTCCATTATTTCCATGTTTTTGTGAAATTGTTTATGGTTGCAAATGTAGTGTGGTGAGTGATCTGATCTAAGAAATCTAGCCCCCCATTTAGAGGAGATCTGGTGGTCTAGTGGGTAAGGAGTTACACTGCTCTGAAGGAGAAAAATGAGCATTCCCTTCCCATGTGATTTACTGTCTCTGAAAACTTGCTGGTGGGTCATCTAAGAGTTGGTTCTGACTTAATGGTCTGTAACAACTGGAGGGAGGGAGGGAGGGAGGATGGGGCCTGCAGAGAAAATCTTTTTAACAGATGAAGGAAGAGTCCAAACGAGAAAATCAGATTTCTACATTTATTTTAATCATAGCTGTCTGATTTCGTTTTATTTTGTAACAGTCCTGTAGAATATGTCACTTTCTCAGCTGTCCACAATGGATCTTCTTGTTGATTTTTTTGGTAAATGTATTTGATTTACATTAGTAATTCCTTAGACTGTCTGTGTGGGGACCCTGGTGGTTTGTTCCATTGAAACTTGCTGTTCTAGCCCAAAGGCTGTGCTTCTCTGGAGGTTTGAATTCACCAGTCAGTCTTCGGGAAAAAGAAAAATGAGCCATCTCCTCCCACAGCCTTGGAAACCCAGTGCAGTGTCAGCTGTGATTTGGGACCAACCAGATAGCAGGAGTGGCATTAGTGTGTTTAAAGCCACTTCTGAGTGGATCATAGCTTATCATAACCCTGAAACTAGATTTTTCTTTATTCTTAAGAAAAAGCAGTAATTTATAGTAAAGTTTGACCAAATCAGTGTTCAATTCTAAAACCAGAAAAACCAAGACTTCAATCATATTCAACCCAATTTCTCATACTTCCTGAAACTAGAACAAGTTGGCATGCATTTTACGTGAAAGACCAGAGTGTCATTTTGGCTCTGCAGTTTCTGTTTGATAAATCTTCTTTGTATTTTTTACAACTCTTAAAAGTAAGAGCGATTCTTGTCACAAGGATAGGCCATACTTATTTACTGGTCCTCAGTTTCTAACTCTTGAGCTAGAGAATTGAGAACATAGAATTTGTATTAAGATTCATGATCCTGAGACACTGCAAAGTCATGCATTATTCAAATAACGAAACTAAAGAGTTATATTTTACCTTTAAGGACTCTTTAAAAAAAATTAAAATATTGTGTTTTCCATGAAGATCTATTCAACAGTTGGTTTTACATTCAACAGTTGCCACCATAAGTTTTTGGTGACATTTTTTGCATTCTACCCAATTCAGGAAAATTCTCATTTCCATTCTGGATGTTCCGTTCCATTACTCTAATATATCTTTGCCCCCTTTTAGGCTAATCTTTGTTTTACAGTAATTGTTATCCATTTGTCTCACAGGGGCTTTTTTACTGGAGTAATGGGGATTGGTGTGTCAGAATCAGTGAGACTGGCTCAGGACAGGGCAGGCTGCAGAGCTACTGTATGTAGGGTCGCAATGGGCGCATATCTTATAGATTCTATTTTATTTCTATTAACCAAAGAAATAATGCCTTTTTTGTAATCATTCCTATTGCCAACAGTTTTGTTTTATTTTTGTATCATACTCAACCTGGACATGACACTGTAGTTTTTCTCTTTGAGGTGCAGTCGTTTCCTTGGAAGAATGTGGATGAGTGGGCAGGGGCAGTGAGTCAGTTTTAGGTGACCTGAGTCAGTCCTGTCTCAATCTCATGATCGTAGAAAATAGCATTCGTCTTCACTAGATCTTAGTTATTCTTGTGCAACTGAAGTCTAAATTAACTTTCCAATATCTTTCCAAGTCTAAAACTTTATGATTCATTCTGACTTTTGGCCAACCCACTTGGAACTATGTATTTTGACACATTATCATTTCCAAATTAACATGTTTTTAAAGAAAATTATCAATATTTTTTCACTAATCTGTGCATTTAGGGTAAACAGTGACACAGTTTATAAAATAGTAGTGATGAGTGCAAAAGCTCTAGGTCACATCTCTTTTTTTTTCCTGTTACCACTTTTGTTCTAGATCACTGTATGACCTTTCAGGGCCTCAGGCTGTTCCTCTCCAGTCAAGGGGTCACCACTGTGTTTCTTTCCAGTACAAGGCTGTGATTCTCTGGAAGGCAGCATTTATATTGCCTATCATTCTTTTGGTCTATTTTTATTATACATCAGGAGAACAGATACTAGGAAATGTATAGTATTTTATTTTTTTATTTTTATTTCATGATTAACATCTTCCCAGTGTATTGATCGGTTTAAGCGATCTTAAAGTTAGATCTTCTCTCAGATGGAAGTCTTTCTGTGTACCAGTTCTAATCCACAGACACTAGCCAGCCACCTAATCAGTCAGCTTTGGAGGAACTTGAATAGGACAGTCTTCAAGTTTAATAAACTAATAGCATCATTTTAAAAATAATTTTTACTGGATACTTTTTTTTGGATTAAGAAAGTATACGTATTTAGGGGAAACTTTTTAAAATACAGAAAGCCATAAATAAATTTCTTATCATCCAGAAAACCACATTTTATATATATATATATAGTGATTTTAGAACATTAAGATTTGACTTTTCTAGCATTCTTCCTCTACTCTTCTTTCGCGTTATATAGCTAAATTACATTTAAGTGCAATTGCAGATGCCCACTTCTGTGACTGCCAACATTGGTTGACAAGGATGGTCAGAGCGTGAGCCTTGGAGGCGTACAGAGGAAGTTTAGATCTTAGGGAGTGTGTCCCACAGGAAGGCCAGGAGGCCAGGTGACAGGTGATGTTTGAATCACTAATTCTGATAATGTGCACACCAGAAGCCCTGTGGTAAAGTGGTTAACTTCCTGCTCAACTGCTTACTGAAATGTCAGGATTTATAATCGCCTTGCAGAAAAGAAAAACCTGGTTATCAGCTTCTATACAGATTACAACCTAGGAGACAGTTTCAGGGGGACAGTTCAACTCTGGGGTCCAGTAGGGTCATAATGAGTTAGAATCAGCCACATAACAAATGATGTGTACACAAGTTAAGACTGACTTAAAAACATCTAAGTCTCCATCCTGATCCTTTGTATTACGTGATGACTATAAAATAGTGAGCTTAACATTGTTGTTGTTGCTGGTTTGCTATCAGAAATCTACACTCAGCTTTTGCCAGTGTTAACTTAGCCCATAGACAGCCAAAAGAACAAATATGTCGTGGAAAAAGTGCATTCAAGGTGCTCCATGAGGAGACAAGGATGATGAAGCTTCATCTTACACACTTTGGGCATGTTGACAGGAGAGCCCAGTCCTTAGAAAAGGACATCACGCTTGGAAAGGTGGAGGGTCAGTGAAAGAGTGGAAGACCCTCAGCGAGATGGATTGACACAGTGACTGTAATAGTGGGCTCAAGTATATCAGAGATGATAAGGGTGGTATAGGATAGGCCAAGGTCCAGATCCATTGTTGTCAGGGTTGCTGCGAGTCAGTCAACTTGACAGCACATAACTCATTAAAAATATAGTCAAAGTGATACTGGAAAAGTAAATTCAGTGTAATAATCAACAAAATCTGACTTCCTTCTTCCATCATGTTAGCCTTTGAACCCTTTTCAATTTTTAATGGAGTGCTGGTAGCCTATTGGTAAGGAATTGCACTGTCAGCCCAAAGGCATATGGTTCAAATCTACAAGCTGCCCCGTAGGAAAAGATGGATGGTCAACTCTTGTGTGATTTGCTGCCTTGAAAGCCCTCTGGAGAGTCAGCTTTGAGTCAGTCCTGCCTCAGTAGTACACAACAACAACAAATAAGTTGGCCTTATAGTCAAGGCTTTCATGGGCTATATGTAGTTTTTGCAGGAGTCTTGCTGGTGCAGGTGCTCAGCTGCTTACCTGAAGATCAACAGTTTAGACCTACCATCCATTTGATCAGAGAATGATGGAGCAGTCTACGTGAAGATGGCAGCCCTGGAGACCCTGTGGGGCAGTGTTATACAGTCACAGTGACTTGGAATTGACTCATTTGCAGCAAGCTGGCTTTGCTTGGTTTAGGCACTTCAGCTTCCCTGGCTCCTTCCTCTGTAAAGCAGATACTAAGATTATAATTTATTACATAAAATTAATATGTTAGATGTTAAAACATTTTGTTTATTCAGAAAGTTTTATCTTCTGATTTTAAAAGAAAAATTTTTTTTTCTAAAATGTTTATAGACTTTACTTTCTGTGTCTGTTGAGCCTTACCTATGTTTGGAGGGTAGCACTGGTAAACAGCAGTCCGTTGTTCGACCCTGCCACAGCCGACCGAGGGCAGCTTTGCCACACCAACCATTCTCGGTGTTATAGACCTGCATGCCAGTCCTACTCTGCCTAACAAAAACTCAGGAGTATTGCTTAGGACCATTCATCTGCAAAATGATAAGGAGACAGGGTATTTTTTTATCTTCAACTAGAATTTTTGTGTTCTGCATCTTATTATCTATAGTTTTGCGTCTTTTAACTGGCCATACTTAAAGGGGAGCATCTCACTCCTTTTTCTCCCTTCATTTTACTCAAATCCTTCACTTTTACCCCATTTGCTATGTTTCTTATCTCAGCATACAGGTCCAACAAACTCATTAATTCTGTGTTAAAAGGTAGAGTCTCTAGAATGAGGATGAACAGACCCATTCATATTTCCTTAAAGTTGTTAAATGCTGCCTTCTCTCTATAACTTATA